GAAATTACATATTAAAATCAATATTAACGATCTTTGTTTTGTTGTAATTTAAAAATATTATTCGGGGATATATGAAACTGAAAAATCAAAATATTATGGCCTATCCATGCAATCTAAAATAGTATAAGGAATAAGAATTAAGCTCATGATAAGACTGTGCATATTTTAAGGATTTTATTCATAAATTCCATATAATTTAATACCATAGAAAAGTATATAATATGTCTTATACCTAGACTGACATACCGTCTCCTCTCAGAATCGTTTTTCTTATACAATGATATTATATCATAGCATTCAAATTTAATGCCATCCCATTATACAGTGACCCACTTGTAACCTACAGTACAGCAGAGCGACATCCACTTACCCACCTTTTTTTTTTTAAAAAAAGCATATAAAGAACGAATTTTGGCATAATACGTAAAAATCACAAAAATGTGCAAATTACTTTGAGGTAAAATAATTCATAAGAAATTTTATTTTTAAAGCTAAGATTTGAAAATTTAATTCAAGATACCTCATAAGTTTGTCTATCTTTAGAAAAATAAAATGTCTACCAGAAAGTCATATTAAACTATTTTGTACGTTTGATGTTCAATTTTTTTTTTTCAAAAACAAATAACTGTGGACACTTGAAATTTACACCATATGTGTTTATTTCATTGATTCCTATACTTGATAACATAATGTTGATTAGTTTTGAGCTGTATACCTACGGACATTTACAATTTTAATTTGTTAGTTTTTTTTCCATTAATGTCAATAAAATTTTATTTGCTTAATGTGGTATATAAAATGTGCTCCATAGATAAACTGGAATGATTTGACAAAATATTTAAATAAATTACGAGTATAATGTAGAAGTTGTTGGTTATTATCACTTAAAAGAATTCGCATTGAAATATGTAATATTTAAATATATATTTATATATATATAATATATATATATATATATAATATATATATATATATATATATATATATATATATATATATATGTAATTTAAATACCTTCACCAAATTCATAAAATAAAATGTAGATACTCAATTAGGTGTCTACTTAATTAAACAGGTAGCTAGGCACTTGATAAGATCACTTATTACCTACCTTATTCAGCCGCTTGTCGAATGTGAAACGCTGTTCAAATAATATTTTATACCTACTTGCCTACCAAGTACCAGCTAGTAGCACACAGTATTACAGTAAAGGTACTAATGTACTATAGGTCGAATGGGCCAACTTGGGGCCAAAACATTATCTTATAGTTTCACCTCCATAACGGTCTCTTGTCATATCTTAATACTTATTACTCATCATTTTGGTAGGTAGTAGTGTCGCCGCAGCGGATTTTAACTAATTAAATAGGCAGTGATGGGAAAGAACGTATTCATAAGAACGTGTTCATATTGTGGAAACTTGACATGAACGAGTTCGATTTTCAAGAAATGAACTTGAACGTGAACTGAGTTCTTATTGATTATGATTTTGAACGTTTTGGGTTCGTTCATTGACAATTTAAATTTCATAGAACAGGCGATAGGATAACGTTTTGAAATGTTTTGTAGCCAATCAGGTTCCTTCTCAAGAATAAAAAGATATAATTTGTTTTTGATTTTGTTTATTTTTAGTTTGGATATTTATTTTTGCCCTGAAATCACAACGCCGCGCCGTTGTTCGGCTGTAAGAATAGTAGGTACCATACCGTTTGTGGTATATTTTTATAATTCTGTTGTAACTTGACATGATACAATGAAGTGTAATAAATAAAATATAAATTATAATAAATAACATTTCCAAGACTAACACGTCCATACAAATTATTTTTTGCTGTATACAGCGCGTTCCACAGAATACAGGGTGATTGGAAAAATATAAAACTATTTGTATTACGTGATCAAAATAAATTTTAATATTATGATTTTGTTTCAGTTAATTAATCAACATTATTTTAACCACTACTCAATTACTAATTAGTTACATAGGATAAAGTACGTTGCAGAGCCACGTATCGCCGGCTTCGACGCATAGTCGGTAGTCCCACGTATTTTCACGTTTTTTTTTTATTTCTTACTTAAGTATTTTTTTATTTTATTTTTTTAGTAACTTTTTATAATTTTTGATCATTTTAAAAATTATGAGCTACTGAACTAAAATTTGAACAAGTTCAAATTCTAGATGAACTAGAACTTGAACTAGTTCATTCTAAAAACTATGAAATAGAATTTGGACTAGTTCATATTTAATGTCTTGAACTTGAACTAATTCATTTTTAGAAAGATCTTTCCCATCACTGTACCTAAATATGTACCTAAGTAAGCACTCCGGCACTCAAGATGATCCCTTATACCGACCTACTTATTTTCAAATAAATACCTAGGTAGGTACTTGCAACTTGGTATTTCTTTTTATTTCATATATGAAATATTTATAGTACCCATATTTACACATCAATGTTATGATCTGTTTGAGTAACCAATGACAACCATTTATATACAAAAAAAAAATTATTTTCACTGTTAATCTCAAGTTCCCTGTCTGACCAGCTCTTTAAAATTCTAATATCGGAAAATCCTTGATGGAAAATCTGATGTGCAATCTAGATCATTAGAGGAACCACTATTCCAAATGTGTACGTTTTGAAGTTTTTGAGTTGTATCGATCAGTTAGTGAACGAGTGGTATATGCCATTCATATATTATTATATAGATGAAGTGCGCCAAGCTTAATAAAAATATTATATAGAGTAGAATCATTTACTTTTCGCTATTTTAACCGACAACCGAATTTCCTGATTTACTAATTATTATAGCACTGAAAGTCCTTCAAATTGACTGTCTCTTTGACGTCATACACGTCTGATACATGACAGACGTTACATTTAACCTCCAATAACGCCCAGCCTTATATTTCTTAAATATTGTCGTTCAGACGTCAAAATATATATATAATATATGAACTATAGTTTGAATATATTACCTATACATTTTAACTATTTTTATTTTATGCATGCAATAGTTATCGTGCTTTTGTACCTACTGCAAATGACACACACGGTTTTGAGCATATTATATTCGCGATATATTATTATAATATAATAATATTTTATGTTTTTTTTATTATGTTGATATTATATTAGGTAGGTATACTGTTACCGTATACATGAACTGTAATTATACACGAGGAGATTTCTACTTTTTTTTTTTTTGATATGAAATAAAACGACATAAATTAAAATAATATAAGTTCCAATTTTTTATGGGTCAACACAAAATTTAAATATAAACAATACATCATAATACATCAATAAATTATTTTACAAGTGTTCACTCTTCAGTATAATAATATCCATTAAAACTAATATTTATTTATTTATTTATTTATTTGATTGATTTAACAGGCTTGAGCCCTTTGAATATAAGGTATAATACAATTGACAAATTACATGAACGGAAAATTATATATTTTGATTACAATAAACAAAAAGGAAAAAATAATAAATAACTATACAAAGTACAAATACAGAAATACAACGAACCTAACCTAATAAACAATTAATATTCATATTAATACTTCGAATAAATGCAATGATATAATATAAAATAATGGAAAATGATAAAGATCCAAAATGATCGTAACATTTAAAATATATAATATTATTGTAATAGTAAATTATAATATATACACGACAAGAAATCGTTAAGATAAATATAATTTGTGTTTGTACATATATTTTTTTTTTTTTTTTTATTATTAGAAATCAAAATAAATGGTTACAAATTAAACAAATTTAACAAATTGTTACAGTTTTGATTACCTACACATAGTGTACACATACTATTTATAGGAACAAGACACCCAAGCATAATATAATATTTTCATGGTATTCAGAATCAGTATCTCGTCGTCGATGAAGTCAAAACATAATCTTAATTGGCCAGGAATTTAGTTAATAATAAATAATAACAATACGCTGAAATGTATAATGGACAATAACGAAAGAAAACTCGAATAACGAGTACAATAAACGATAAGAGATGATGGGGAATGATGAAAAGTGCACAGTCCATAGACACACAGATTATCTTATGTAGTTCTTACATGTAGGGGCTGGGGCGGAGGGCAGTTGCTTCGGCTCTGGTAGCTATTTTGCAACAGCTGGTTAGGTGGGTGATGAAGGTGCGGCGATTAAAATATGTCTAATTTTGAGGAATATTGGCCAGCTAAGGTGGTTGATACACAACTAATAACTAATCAGAAGTCTAACTAACGGCAATGGAAAGAATTGATGAGGCAGCTTGAAGTTACTCAAAGTACTGGCTCATCAACTGCGATGTGGAAGGAGAAGGAGACAACTACATTAAAATTCCTAGTAAAGCAGTGTGGAGGAGGATTTAGAAAAAGGAGGAGGTGCAGAGGGTCAAGAAGTAGGTGCATTTGGTCTAGGAACTAGAAATGAAAGAGGAGACCGCCTTGTAGACTTCTGCAAGCAACATGATATGACCATAACTAATACATAAAATACATACAATTTGCAAAAGAGAAATGTGGTTTTATTCGTATTAACTTTGTTTCTGTTGTGCCATATTGTATTCAAGATGACCAAAAATATGTCCCGCTCTTCTACTTTGAAGGCGAAACAGAAAACCTAAGACAGCGGGCTGTAAAATTAGAAAATTGGAACTTGGAATATCTTAAGTTCTGTTTTAAAGTGCAGGGTATCAGAAATGAGTTGTTTGCCATTGCCCCTTGCACAGCGACTAGTCTTATTTATGCTTATAGTAATACCGTATCGTACTCCAGGGTTGTACCTATCAGCCAATGTATAACAACAATGTACAATCCAATGACAAATGGCAATGTATTGTCACATTCAAGTCAAATGAGACAATTCTACACTCAACGTTCTAACAATAATCAAGCCCAACAACAACAGTTGCAGCAATAACATCAGATACCACAGCAACAACAAATAATTACCACTCCTCTAACTCAGCAGTCATATAGTGGCCACCTGTCGTTTAATCAACACACAACAGCGCAACGCGTTAAGGAATGCTGGGCCTGTTGCAATTGCTCCGCCCTTAGAAATTATTGACTTATCGTCCCTTAAATCCAGCCCTATTCTTCCAGCTGTGCAGGAGAATTCTTTTTGTAATATTAATGCATGGGAATTGACGAGAATACCGGAACGGATGTGGGGGGCGCATGACACATCTAACAATGATGCATACAAGGTTAATGAGCTAACCGCAGAAAAAGATATACTTCGAAAATGCCAGGGGATATCGGAAGATGTCAAATCGACTATATTATAGTGAGGAAAAGGTTCAGGAATCAAGTACATAGATGCAAAACATACCCAGGTGGTTGACGTGAACACCGACCATAATCTTCTCATGATGAATGTAATGCTGGTGCCGCGCTACCAGCGTTTGCCAGTAGGGTCGGTTTCCCATTGTGCCCGGCCCATTCCTAGCTTTTGCGCTGTCTTTTTAACGGACCATCCTCAGCACCAGCTTGGTATTGTTGTATTTGTTCATCTTGCTTCAACACAAATGCCTTTAATCGCGGCAAAGCATGCGTGACATCTTTTAGCCTGGCCATGGGTGTTGCAGCCGGGTACATTGACCTGATTCGTCCATTTCTCCTCAAACAGGCCAACTGCTCGCTGTCAAACAACGAACGGTGAAATGTAATAACACTTCTGAACACGTTGGATGAGCAGTAGGAGGGATAGTGATTATTAAAAAGAGGAGCAGACACTTACGAATTTCCACTGAATAGTGTCGTTTTCAAGTATTTGTTTAAGATGTAAGCGCATCTCTCGACTGTACACGAAGGCAACACCATCTGGACTAAATCGTTTAATGTCACCATCAGATCCGAATAGATGTATGGTTTTGCGTGTATGCAATGAATCACTCTCCATTTGATCTGTGTTAAATAAATATATATACAAATGAATATTATTTATTTTTTAAATACAAATAATAGTATCATAATAAATTAAAAGACAAATATTCGGTATTCTATATAGCAAATAAAATCAAAATAGTAATTTTTTGTGTTAATACTATACTCTGAATTTAATTTAATAACATAGCGGCCTGTTACTTATTGCTATAACGCGATTGATCAATAATAAATGTTGAAACAATTGTAGAAGTTAAAAAATATAGATAAATATAATAATTAATAATAAAGATTAAACTCATAGTACCTATTTATGTTTTTATGTTAAGTTATGTTTATGCTATTTTTGTTAATAAATATATATTTGTTTAAAAAAAAGGTATAGAGGTATCAAGATTTTATATCTTATAGAGGTATGAAAAATAATAATAATTTTATTCTAGGCCCCAATAAATTCAGTCAATCTTAAAATATAAATATACACTAACCTTGTATGCAGCATTATTAGATGTGTCATGCGCCTTCCACATCCGTTCCCGTATCTTGTCACTTCCCATGCAATAATAATACGAAACGAATTCTCCTGCACAGCTGAAGAATAGGGCTGGATTTAAGGGACGATAAGGCAATAATTTCTAAGGGCGGAGCAATTGCAACAGGCCCAGCATTCCTTAATGCGTTGCGCTGTTGTGTGTTGATTAAACGACAGATGGCCACTATATGACTGCTGAGTTAGAGGAGTGGTAATTATTTGTTGTTGCTGTGGTATCTGATGTTATTGCTGCAACTGTTGTGGTTGGGCTTGATTATTGTTAGAACGTTGAGTGTAGAATTGTCTCATTTGACTTGAATGTGACATTACATTGCCATTTGTCATTGGATTGTACATAGTTGTTATACATTGGCTGATAGGTAAAACGTTGGAGTACGATACGGTATTACTATAAGCATAAATAAGACTGGTCGCTGTGCAAGGGGCACTGGCAAACAACTCATTTCTGATACCCTGCACTTTAAAACAGAACTTGAGATATTCCAAGTTCCAATTTTCTAATTTTACAGCCCGCTGTCTTAGGTTTTCTGTTTCACCTTCAAAGTAATAGAGCGGGACATATTTTTGGTCATCTTTAATACAATATGGCACAACACAGAGTTAAAACGAATAAAACCACATTTCTCTCTTGCAAATTTTATGTATTTTATGTATTAGTTATGGTCATAATATGTTGATTGCAGAAGTCTACAAGGCGGTCTCCTCTTTCATTTCTAGTTCCTAGACCGAATGCACCTACTTCTTGACCCTCTGCACCTTCTCCTTTTTCTAAATCCTCCAATACTTGATCTATACTGCTTTACTAGGTATTTTAATGTGGTGGACTCCTCCTTCCACATCGCAGTTGATGAGCCACTACTTTGAGTAACTTCAAGCTGCCTCATCAATTCCTTCCATTGCCGTTAGTTAGACTTCTGACTAGTTATTAGTTGTGTATCAACTACCTTAGCTGGCCAATATTCCTCAATATTAGACATATTTTAATCGCCGCACCTGCATCGCCCACCTAACCAGCTGTTGCAAAATAGCTATATCGTTGAACCCTGAAAATTCAATAAATATCAATATAAAAATTGTTAATTTACTAATATATCTTACATAGCCCACAATGTTATATTTATACCCACCATTGAATTCAAACAATTAATTTTTATATCACACATGCAAAACTTGTAGTCAATACTTTTATTAAATTATAAATTAACTTTAATAAAGCATAAAATAGATATTAAATTATAAAAATTATCCAACATAGTAACACTGGACTCTTAATTTTAAAACAATTTCAAAGAAAAGAAAAGCAATATAATTTATTTATAATTATTATTATTAATATATCAACATTACTTATAGTCAACAAAAACGTTAATTGTTTGAATTGCCAACTGAGGAATAACAATAATTAATCCGTTAGTTTATAAAAATTATTTGTGTTAAATAATAATACAAAAAAGTTATTTCTTTAATGGAGACAAAATTATAAAATACAAAATAGTTTAGAGCATGAGCTTTGAACTACACATAATTGGTTGAGTATTTCTATATAAGGGGTTAGGAATAAGTGGATAAAAAAATTAAGAAATATACTAGAGGTATACTTTGAATAAATTATTAAATAAATAGATTTGAATAAATTATTGGAGCAACTGAGTTAATTGTAGATAACTAATAACAGTTGTTATTATTTATTTATATTTTGTTTCTTGTTTGCTTATTTATTTTGATTGTTTGTTTAATCATTTATTTACTTATTATTAATTATACGTATTGTTGTTATTATATATTTAAATAGGTTTCATCAACGAATTTATTATTCACTTACCATTTAAATTTATTTTACTCTAGTGTGTCAATGACATTTTAATTCTGTTTATTTATTCTGTTTATCCTGAATTCGATACATTATTTAATAGTCGTTTGAGGTTAACCAAAAAAACAAATGAAACCATCCTATTATTGTTTTGTTATGGTAATACTGTAACATATCATATTCATTTGTATGTGACTGTGTGTGTAAGTAGTCATCTCTCTCGCGTCTCGCTTGTTTTGAGTTGCCTCGTCAATTATGTTAAATAAATAAATGTCAAACAATATTATTTTTGTTTACTAATTTCAAATACAACATGGTGTCAGGTGTTGATTCATTATGGGTCGAAAAAAAAAAAGGATCAAGCAGATAAATCTGGATCACAACATGATGAGTCAATAAACGAGCCGCAACAAACCACGCGCACAGATACTCAAATTTCTACAAACACATTTACAATGTCGTCAGGTCTTATTGGTAATGTAAGTCAACTATCCTTAGATGGAAATTTATGTCAAAATTGGTCCGATTGGTTGCAAGAGTTCAACATTTATTTGATTGCGAGTGGGTATGATAGTCAGCCAGAAATACGTAAAATATCAATTTTTTACATTTTATTGGTAAAGCTGCTTTTAAAATCTATAATTCATTTAATATTAACATTAAAGAGTTCACATTGGACAATCTAATATTCAAATTTATTCCACGTAAAAATGTTACTTTGGAACGCCATAAATTTTTTACACGCTACCAATTACCTGATGAAAGTATTAATGAATATATAGCAGATTTAACAAATAAAAGTATGTCATGTGAATTTGAGTCTTTACGAGAAAGTCCAATAAAAGATATGTTAATCTGTGGTCTAAATACAAATAATATTAAAATTAAACAATGTCTACTAAAAGAAAATGATCTTACATTGGAAAAAGCATTGAAAATTGCTTCGTCTATGACGTTGTCACAACAAAGGGTAAAGCAACTGGATGTCATGGATGGGAGCAATGAAGCAGTCAAAGAAGTACTAGCAGTCCAGTCAAAAGAAAAGTTCAAAAGTCGAGGTCACCATCAACGGTCGTATGGTCATAAGAATCGTCAGTCAACATCATCGGATAAAAACAATCAAACTTGTGTGTCATCGCTATCCAGTCAATCGTCAAGAATCAAAAAAGAAAGTTCAAAGAAGTCTTACGGTAATAACAAAAATTTTAGTCCCACATGTAGTCGTTGTGGTCAAAGTCATAAATTTTCATGTCCCGCCAAAGGTATTAAATGTCATAAATGTAATTTGTTTAATCATTTTGCCAAATATTGTAAGACAAAGATGGTTAATCAAGTGACACTTGATAAAAATAATTCTAGTAATGATAATTACTTTTTATTGTTTCTATAATTGATAATAATAAAAATTATGTTTGGCAAATTGTATTACAAATTAATAATAGATATGTGAATTTTCAGTTAGATACAGGTGCCCAAGCTAATATAATGTCAATTGAAATTTAAAAAAAAATGAATATTTCTGTCAGTAGTATTAAAACACAATCTAATGTAAAATTAATGGCTTTTAACTCTAATAAGATATCCACTTTAGGTAAAAGCACTATTAAATGTTTTTATAAACAAAAATATTGCTTAATTGAATTTTACACAGTTGATTTTTCATATAATACTATACTAGGGTTGGAAACTTGTAATAATCTTAATTTAATATCTACAATTAATCTCATAAATAATGATAAAGAGATTTCTATTTTAAATGAGTATGAAGATTTATTTGAAGGTCTAGGATGTCTACCAATCACTTATCATATTCATTTAGACACTAATATTCAACCTAAAATTGACCCTCATAGAAGAGTTCCATTTAAAATTTATGATAAACTAGAATCTGAACTGAAAAATATGGTCAATATGAAAGTAATAGAAAAATGAAATGCACCAACGTCCTGGATAAATTCTATAGTTATTGTAATAAAAAAGAATAATAAGCTTCGAATATGTTTGGATCCGAGAAATCTAAATAAGGCTATAAAACGTTCACACTATCCACTTCCTAGTTTTGAAAATGTTAAATCTAGATTAAATGGTTCATGTTATTTTTCCACTTTAGGTGCTACTTCTG